ATTTGCCTGCAAACGGCGATGTGTATGTGTCGATCGGACATAGGAACAATTGAATGTCATTTTTAATATCTATATACTCTTGCTTGTGACGATATACCGGTAAGAATTGTACTATGTTTTGTTTGGTGGTGACAAGTATTTGGCAGTTTAAGACCGGGTCTATACATGTTGCTTTGATTTTATGTTGACAATTTTCTTTTATTACTTCCACATTTACTTGACATATATCTGATATAATTTTACCAATAATGTGAGCTGGAATGTATTCCCCATTACAAACCACTTTACTAATTACCGACTTGTCTACTGTATGTACCTCCTCCGTAATGTAATTTTTTATATCTTCCCAGTTGTTTACAATAAATTTTCCAATTATTTTTTAATTTCTACTTCCTAGTCGGGATTTTGATAAAGAACTTCTGCTAAGACTCGATATATTGAAGTACAGCCTAATATTTATTTTTTTACCTTATATTTGACATTGTTTACAACTACTGTATCTGTTGTTGCTCGTCCCATGGTGGGTATATGACTCATAGCGTCTGCAAGAATTTCAGTTTACCCTTAATAATATGTGCCTCAAAGTCGTATTCAACTAATGCTATGGCCATCTTCTGTATTCGTAAACTGTGTTCCGCCATGGACTTTAGGTATCGCAGACTAGCATTGTCGGTTTCAATGATGAAATGGTGGCCGTATAGGTATTGACGAAAGTAGGTGCAAAAATATTTAATCTCCATCGTGGAACAGTGTTCCTCGGTAATAGAAAGTTTTTTTTTACACAAATTCTATGATATTCCTTCTTTTGTCCATGGGGTTTTCCTGCATTAGTACTGCCCTGATAGCAGATTGGGAAGCATCGCATGCTAAATTGGTAGTGTAGTTTTCGTCGAATCGCCTTAAAATGGTCGCATTTTGAATAGTCTTTTTAAGCTCTACAAAGGCGTGTTGTTGTTCGTATCCCCATTTATAATTTATACTGTCCTTTGTAAGCTCAATAAGTGGTGCGGCCTTAGTGGCATATTTTAGTATGTACCGCCATAAATAGGACATCATACCCAAAAATATACACACTTATTTGATGTTAGATGGTGGTGCCATTTGTGCTATCCCATTCACCTTTTCTGGGTCCGTAACTGTATGTTGCTGTGTGATATAATGGCCTAAAATTTTAATTTCTTGTTCCGTAAAGCTACATTTTCTTAGCGTTTACTTTAACATTGAATTCTCTAACCTTTGAAAAACTTTTCTTATGTTATTTAAGTGTTCTGTGAATGTATTCCCGATTATGAATATGTCATCGATGTAGGCAATAGCTGTGTTCCATCTTAACGGTCCTAGTAATAAATTGATGAACTAATGAAAGTCCTGTGGATTTGTTGATAACCCCATAGGCATTATTGAATATTGGAAGAGGCCTACGTCATTCATGCTAAATGCTAGCTTATGGTGATCCTCCTTCCTGGGGGGAATTGAATAGAATCCAGAAAATAAGTCGAGACTTGTTATCCATATAGAATTTAGTAAACTGTTTAAAATGTCCTCCGTTCAAGGTAATGGGTATTGGACTCGTGTTAAGTGTTAATTTAATTTTCTAAAATCTGTAAGAAATCTTATACCACCTTGCTTCTTGCGTGTAGTGAAAGATGGTGCAGAATATTCTTAGTCAGATTCCTCAATAATTTAAACTTGCAACATGTCATTAATTTGTTGGAGGAGTTCCTCCCTAACTTTGTGGCTAAAGTGATAAGGCCTAGTGGCTATCGGTTTGTCCGTATTTAGCTCTAGCTCGATTTGAAAATATTTGGCTTCTGTCAATTCAAGGATGCTGTGCGCAAACCTATCACTGTACTCTTAAATTAATGTATAAATGTATTTTTCTGTGTCTCATCTAACTTTGTATTAACTTTAGGCTTAAATGATTGTTCTGGCATAATATCGATAGTGTCAATCATGTTGATGCAGTATTATGTCATATCTATATTGGTATTATATATGGTGGAATTTAATTATCATAAAGCTAAAAACCTTAAAATCTATCATTTTCTTTTTTAACTGAATTGAACATGTGTTCTCTTGAGTGTATACTACATGTGCGTATGGTACATTGTAAGCAATTGAAACTGCAACACCAAGAAGAACACCAGCTTCCACAGCCACATTTAGTAAACAAATTTCCCCTCATACGTATGTGACACAATTACTGCTGCAGCTCGTGTGGCGTACAGAACATGGGTAAATCAAAACTGTGTGGCCTCAGCGAGGTAATAGCTGCTGCTACACTCTGCATTTATAGGAAGAAGACTTTGTATGTCCATCTGGGGAATCTCCACCCATGTTGCTTCGATGTGTGATCAAAGTTTATCCATTATGGCTGTGGGTGCCCTGTGGCAGGCCTGTCGTCATCCAACCATAGACCATGCATTTTAGACGGGCGAGAGATCCGGTGAATTCGCCAGCAAAAGAAGCATTGTGACATGGTTGTCATCCAGAAACCGTTGGACGATGTTTGGCACACGTGTTTGTGTGTTGGTACAGGGCCCCAGGCCAGTCCTGAAGACAGGGGACAACAGGCGCCAACACTTCCGCGATTTAATGGTTGCTAGTCAGTCTAACCAGTGACGTGGACTAGGCGCGAGTGGAACTGGATTCTAATGGCACCCCATGCCGTAACTCCAGCTCATGGGCTGGTATGAGAGTCCACAATGCAGGACTTGATCAGGCATGCGCCATGGTGCCGCCAGACTCTGATGCGGCCATCATCGTGCTGCAAGCAGAAGCAGACTTCGTCAGAAAATAAAATGGCATGCCATTCGTCCCTCCAGGCCCGACGTATCACACACTATTGCAGCCACAGGCGCCGGTGGTGAGCAGTCAGTGGTAGCCACAGTAATAGGCACCTCAAACATACTTCAACATACTTATGTGATGCTTGAAATCCTGAGCATGGATGCTGGTTATTGCTGTATAGTTCATAATTTCAATGCACACCACATTTCTGTCATTACCCTTGTTGGTAGCAACATGGCCGTTTATTTCTGTATGTCGCTCAGCGAATCCCTCCTCGGCCCACTGATCTCATATCCTCTTATCTGCGGTTGCATTTCTATAAATGCGAGAACCAATTTCGCGGGAGGATAATTCACTGTCCTGATAGGCTGGCATTCAAAGCCAGAAATCTTTTCGTATAGTTGTCGTGTTCTTCGACGCTACATGTTCACTCCGTGTGTGCACGCGAACCCGAGGGAAGAGGCACAATTCCACTACCCCTCAGAGGCCCACCAAGCTCTACTCATATACATAATTTATCAGTTTCGTCTTTGGCGCACTAACTGCACTACTTGTCTGAACAACTAGTCACATCATTGCCCTACTCTGATCTACGCATTCTGAAAATGTGGGACCCTTTAAGTGTGTCCTTCTAGATGCTGTAATTTTAATGGATATCAGTGTATTTGCATTAATGTAGACAAAGGTAGGTTCATTAAATATAATGGTAATCTTCTTAGCAAATGTGTGTAGGAATATGCCAATTCAGCTTAGATTTGATTCTCATCTTATAATACTACTCGGATTCGCAACACTAATCATACTTATATCTCCATACTTATTACTTCCATTTCATAATATTTCTCGTATCTTACTCATCCACAATACCTATAAATATACTCTTATTTGTATGTAACAATAGAAAACACCTAAATCCCCTTTATAATAGTATGGAAATTGGAAATTGTGACATTAAAATTAATTTACAAACATTTTCCAGAAATGTATTGCTTTGGGTGCCTTTAAAAAGGTAAAATTGATCACTTGAACAAAACTGAGTTTCAGTTAAATAATTTACGTTGAGTTTTTTTAAGTAATAATTTACGGATATTGGAATTCACTCAGAAAAAATTATAAAAATATACTTGAAGTTTTTGGGCTGACTATGAGATAGAATTGATTACCATATTCTCATGAGCGTGTATTCGTACTCAGCGCTCACAAATTTATTATTCTGATTTAAATAAGTAGACCTAATCAATGTTGAACATACGAACAGTGACTATAACATGGCAAATTATAAGTTTTATCTTTATAGTGTCTACACTGTGATGTACGTATAATACAAGTAATATTATAAAGTAATCCCTACTATTTTTCAAATGAAATTCTTTAAAAAAAAAAGTATCAATTAATAGGCCTACACTTACGAAAACGAGCAAAAATCCCAAACTTGACTATAAGATATTCTTTCAAGCATTGAGACCAAATTTGCTACGGTGGCTTTCAAATACTGGACATAAATTAAATCGATCAAGTTTCGTTATCTGTACTGTAGGTTTAATGTCCTTCCATTACAGATTTGTGATGAGAAAATTGCTAACGTGTGAGAGCTTGACGTCGAACTATGACTATTTATTTTATAACATTTTTCCTCACAGAAATTCATTTGCTAACAATTTAAGTTAATTTATTCTTGCACAAAACTTGCTTGAAAATCTAATTACCTATTCACATAAATTATATCATCTTTTTTTAATGTGTAGCTTGGTATCTTCTAACATTTCCATTTTGTGTTAACGATTAAATTTAATTCAGTTGTTCGAATTTTGTATGATACTACTCGCTTTGTTTTCAGTCTAATTGTCCACGAAAAACTTCTTAACTGTTAGCAGTTTCGTTGAATCATATGACCAAATTTATTTTTATAACGGGCGCCATTATTGACAAATTAATTCATAGAGATAAGAATAACTGATATTTTCTAATATAATTTGCTTATATTTCTAATGACACACAAATTAGAAGTTATGCATAGTCACAGATCAAGGTACTGTTACTGTAAAGTCAGTTAAAATGTTATATGTTACCAGAGTCGCAAATTAATTCAGCTGCAGAATTTTCCTTTTTCTATTAAGACGTTCGCAAAAAATTTTCGAAAACTTCGAAAAATTCATAAAATCAAAACAATTTTCATAAACATTAACATTGCCACCGAAAAAAAAAAACATAGTAGGTGCTAGGGTTTGAACCAGAATTTTCTGCACACGAAGCAGGTGCTCTACCACTGACCTACACCCTCGACATTTGGGATAACTTAAAATCAATTGTTGTTACTCTTTTCTGGAAGTGCAATTTTTTGTTTGTAAAATAATTACGAGTAATATATGCCCCTATATTCTATTTTAAATTGTGCCTGTGGGTAAGTTACACGCCAGTTTCTGTTCGACTAAGAAGTACTTATTAGTCGGCATCTGAGTAAATCGCTCGATTTTGAATTTCGGAAGAGTTTGTTCAAGTTTTTTTTACTAATATCAATATTAATTTCTTTTGTTAAGTTCTGTTAATGACCAGAGAGGAAATTGGAGACGTTATGGTTTGAATTGCCTATCCACTATGTTAGGATGAATTTACTTCTGATGATTTAATTCACTTTTTTTCTATTCTTTACCAGAGTTCAAGCAGCATGTTTTTTTTATTTTGTATATCTCCTTGATTCTTTGTTCCTGCTGTGAAACCAAACCTTCAACTTAATTTTTTACATTATTTTTCTCGTGTACTGTGTTCGATTTTACATCATCTAAAGCTCATGTCGAGCCTTGAATTCAAGTCCCTACAGTATGTTTCTCCATTCGGAAATGTTTATATATTGTTAGAAATTTCTGTAGATTAAAGGAAACTTTTACAGAGATGTAGAGTTTTACTTCGTGTAAAATGGTAGTAGGTGAATGTGAATCACTCATGGAGTGCCAATTCGTTTATTCTTGTTCAAATTCCGCTACAGGACAAAACCTACTGTATACACAGTGAAACATGTACATTACGAAAATAAAACAATATTTTCGTAACCTCATTTCATAAACCACAAATATAGCAAGCGCTCTAACACCACTTGTGTGTAAATGTGTGTTAGGTGAGTTTTCCGAGTTGCTGGATGTTAGTTTATCAATTCGTGTTAAAATCCTACTACAGCATTAATAATTTAAACTTTTTTTAATATCTATGTTATATATATTGGGATAAATTACGCAAATCAATATTGTTATCTTACCTCTGTATGTAAACATGAAATTTAAAAAATCGCACTTACTCTAACATCGCTGGAGACTAAGATGAATGCCTCATTCCATATAAATTCCGTGTATACAATATAACTTCTCGTAAATCTTTGTAAGTGAGTGGATAAATTGTTGGTTAACCAAAATTTATTTCAGAGTTCAAATCTCGCCATCGGATTAAATTTACTGGTTTTATAGTCATTTTATACACAGTGAATCACCCACATAACGAAAGTAAAAATTTTTTGTTACCCATATTTATCAAGAACAGAGTAAAAAAATGTACAGGTTTGTGGTCACGTTCTATGAATTCATGGAGGTTTGTCTGAAATTTACGGAGAAAACGTTATTGAAACAAACGAAGAGACCGAAATTTTACGCAGATTACTGGTTATTTGTAACTGATATTTTCCATAATTTTACGGACAATTTTCCTAAAATATACATTACAGCATTCGCATATGAGGACTTTGGTCACCAATTCAAGTACAAACCTCGCAAAAAATGTTTAGAATTTCGAGTCGGTACTCAAACAGTGGACTTCTTATCTCTTTATAACTTCTACATTCGTCTACATGTTTTTAAGCGCCAGTTTTGTGTTGGAAAAATCATTTACTTTATATGAACTCTAATCTTACCTTTTCTTTAAAGTTGGTTCCACATTACAGTGATGTGTTGCGGTACAATACATTGCGATTGGCTGCGATGATCTATTCTAAGACTACTGTTTCGCAATTGAGCAATGATCTGTCGGCGACGGACGCCATCTGAGATGGTTCTGCTATCTATTTCAAGGGAGAAAATTATATTTTCAGACCTAACAAATGTAACAAACAACACGCTAAAAACATTGATTCTCTATGTTGTAACTGATAAGATAAACAAGAAGATAATGTAAACAAGGCAGTATAAATGCGATGTGCAGTGAAATTTAGCTAGGACGAGACATAATAAGACGAAGGAGAATTATTTTGATGTTAATATAACTTTTTGACAATGTCCATATGTATAAGAAGCATTGTCTTTTATTCGTTACATCCATGCAGTAACAATAAAAATACAAATACAAAAATGACAATGTAAACGCGATCGCAGTTTTCGAAACGTAAACAAATATATGTTTTTATTCTTCTTGTAAAAAATACTTATTACCATTATTAATATTCGTCATAGGCTAGTAGGTAACAGTACCACTCCGATATCATTCTCGCCCCTATCGACATAAGGTATATGGTATGAACCTTGGAGAGGTTCGCCCAGTATAGGAAATTTTGCTATGTCGCCCTTATCGATATTGGGATGTCCAATTATTCTACCTGGGAGAGGGTGAAGATAAGGACGAAGGCACTGTGCTCCCCTTACGCCCTTCACCATGCTTTGATTGGTCGTTGGTTGAGGCAGAGCATCAATTATGAGTTAAGCCCATTAATAAACATAGTCATAATTTCCGAATCGTTGAAGCTATCGTCATCAAATTCATAACTCAGGCATCATACCCGATATCTATCATGATGGTAATAGGCCATTTATGTCTTGAGCTCTTTCCGGTAAGCTTAATTATTTGTTAAACCCTTTTATAAACAAAGTCATAATTTCCGAACCATTGAAGCTATAGTCATCAAATTCATAACATAGGCACCATCATTGATGTAGGTAAGCATAATTGGGTCAATTTTGCCTTAAGCCCTTTCTGGTAAGCTCAATTATGTGTTAAACAATTTTACAAGCATAGTTAGTCATAATTTCCAAACCGTTTAAGGTATAGTCATAAAATGCATAACATACACATCACTCCTGCTGTAGATAATAGCAATAAGGTTAAATTTGCATTAAACCCTTTTCTTTTTCAATCAATTAGGTAATCACTCCGAGCATCAAATACAATGCAACAGTTACCGTACCACAGGGCATGATTAAAGTGTAGTATGTCTGCATCAGACCCACACAAACATATAAGCACAGCCTTCGTGCACCTTACCCTTTGAACACTTATCCCTTTAGAGGCTTAACACTTTCAGCATTTAACCCTCCTACTAACCCTTTGAGCACTTAACCCTTTAGACACTTAACCCGTTGAGCTCTTAATCCATTAGGCACTTAGCCCTTTAGGCACTTAACACTTTTAACACTAACTCTTTGAGCACTTAACACTTTAAACATTTAATATCATTTTATTTTCGAATTTAACAAATATTTATTTGTTGGTTGTATTCTTGCTTAGAGTAATTAATGTAATGTAATATTTGGTTTACTGGGTTTGATTCCCAGGCAAGGCCCTTAATATTTTATGCATCAAATGACAAATGAGATAGGGAAGGGGAAATTGCATTTACTTATGCCATCTCGCATATGGCCCCGTCAGTGAGAAAGTGAGATGTCGCACAGCCATAAGTGTTGACGTCCCGATAGATGGGCAGAAACTGTCGTATTAACACATCAGCCAGCACTTCACAACCCAGTAGGCATGGAGAGGTTAGTTTGCCTGGACACACACACTTTCACCTACCTATATATGATGACCCCTAATTCCTGCAGGCTTACTGAAGATCTCAGGAGTTGTGTTGCCAAGGATCGAGGCTCAGAGAGCCGACAGGATAGGACCTCTGACGAACAGTGAGTCGATTGGCATGGAGTTTGAGTTCTGGACAGAGTATTTAAAATTTTGTTCATTTTCTTTTCTAACCTTCGAACTCTTACATTTTCTAACCTTTAACATTTTCTACACTTTATTACTTTCTACAGTTTAACCACTCGTACACTTTAATTTTTTCTTTATTCTCGCGAAACTTAACATTTTCTCGAAGTTTAATGGTTTTTTGGAGTTTATACCTTTTGAAAAGTAACCTTTTTATCGCATTTAAATAGAATTCAGTATTAACTTGTTTTAAATATTATACATTTTAATTGGTTTGAAACTCTTTAAATATTTTTTCGGTGAGCATATTAAAGTGCTGTAAGATGGGGTGCTTCGGTAGTGTAGTTGATTAAGCCATATGTTATGAAGCACCCCTGGTAAGAATTCGAACCCTTTCAGTGTAAAATTAATTAGATACAGGGTTATTACGCGACAAATGCCACAGAGTACTCATTATTGGGAAATGTGAATAATCGAAAGGTGAAGGCTTTGCTTGATGGGGATATGTGGTAATTCATTAACTTCGCACACACACATGCAGACACACACAAAAATCCACACACACACACAATCCACACATACACATGAATACGCATACCATACCCATGCATACACACATATACAAACAAACACTTTCACCTATCCCCTGTGTAACTTTCAGAAATATCAGAACATCGTAGAATGGAGAACCAACAGGGTGCGAAGTCTAACAACAGGTAGGTGGATTGATACTGAATTGAAGTGCATTTCAAGATACTTACTATTATTTGCGCAATGAGACTATTTACACATCATCAACATATGAAAACCAGCTGTCTAGTAACATCGCTGACATATACCGAAGGGTATTTGTTTCTCATCTGCGTTAGACTGATTACTAACATGCGTTCGACAGTCATTTGTTTCTCTTTCACCTTCATTTGACCAATTACACACATGCAATCCATTTACTCACATTAGTTCGATCCATTATTTTCTCATTGGATATTTACTATGTCAATGCTTCTCAATGACTAATCACTATGTCAATGCTACTCATCGACCAATTACTCCCATTAGTTCAACTATCAGTAAACCTCCAAAAACTGCATTCGAATGCCATATTGGATTCCAAAAGTGTTACAAATTAAAGAAAATATGTTGAATTATATTAATTATTAGAGTACTCACACTTGCCTAATCACACAAAAATAAGTAGTAAATAAATATTTACTAAATAAGCACATATGCACATTATAGCGACCAGAGCTTGGCTGCCCACATCTATTGATAAACAAATGCTGCTGACCCACTCGGGTATGTTACATGCTGACATGCTGACACAAATGAGTGACAACCTTAAATGCATTGAAACTGGAATGTATCACTACAACCAGACACTGTCACAAA